TTGTTTGGTGTCTTCTGCCAAAGAATTCCTTAAAGAGCATCAGCTGCTCCCCCCACCCCCTCGTTTCCAGCAAGATCCGCATTATCCAGGCAGCGCACCCTTCCTCAGTCAGTCCACCCTTGCCCTCCAAGTGCCCCGTCGCCATCCACAGTGTCCGCCCCTTTACGTGCAGATAACCCCTAGGATCCTTTCCCTGGCCGGTGCCTCATCCCCTTGTCAGCTGCCATTCCCTAGCCCTTCCCCCTTCAAAAGCCAGGGATCGTTTTTTTAATCCCGTACCAGTTTTTACCTCTGGTCCTTCTCATCAGCCTACTCCCCTCCCCCACCCATGTCTAGTTCCCTAACCCTGCTCCCTCACCCTCTTCCACGCAGTCCCCAGCAGATTATCCTTTCCCCATGAGAAGCCCGTAACCTGCCCGTTCTGTGGAACCCAGCGGTGCCCCTTCACTTAGCCAGGCTCGCTTCATCCATTTGCGCCTTCCTCCCCAGCTGGGCCCCCTTCCGCAGCCCAGCCAGCTCCTCAGGCCCCTGCCCTTCCCCCGCTAGGCAGGCTTCCCTTATCCCTACCTGTCCCCCATCCCCGGCCAAGCCACACTACCCAGCATCCCCTTCTGCAGCGACCCTCCCCAGGCCCCTGTCCCAGCTTGTTAACCCTCCCCAGCCTGTGCCCAGGGTTCCTGACCCAACTCGAATTTTCCTTCCCAGCTCTGTCCCCTTCCCCCCAGCCAGACCGTCTTCCTCGGCCCCGTGCTCCCTTCTTTAGCTCCTCCCCCTCTCTGAATTAGTCATCTCACCGGCCTGTGTCCACCTCTCTGACTTCTAACCACTTACCTGCTAGTTTCCCACCCTGTGCCTCGGTTACCCATCCTATGCCCCCGGCATTCCCTTCCCAGGCAGGTCTCAACCACAGCCTGTCCCCTTCCACCTGCAAGACCCTTCCTTCCCTGCCCCCCACCCCGCCCCTCACCCAGCCAGGCTGGTTCTCCAATCTGAGGTCCTGCCCACAGCCTTCGCAGCCAGGCAAAGGCCCCTTTCACCCATATGTCCCCTTGTCCATGTGGGGCACCTTTTCCAGAAAGTGCCTCTTCCCCACAGCCAGGTTCCGTGCCCATGCTTTTCCCAAGAAGTTGCCCCTTCACTGGCCTTTGCTAGCCCGCGCCGCCTTTCCCCACTAAACACTTTCCTCTCAGCTTTCCGTCACCTGTCAAGTCCCCTCCTCAGCCATGTGACCTTTCCCTGCCAGAACCCCTTCATCACATGTGCCCCCACGTGAAGCCAAGTCCCCTTCTCTGGCTGGTGACTTTTCCCGAGTCAGTCCCCCCAAGCCAGGCTCTCCACCCAGGGACCCACAGGACCTCAGTCTGGGCTCATATTCCCACGTGGGCCTCCTCCCAGAAAGGCCCCCTTCCTCAACCACTGTACCCCTCAGCCACCCCCCTTTTCTAACTCACTCCTCTCCTCAGCCAGACCTCCCATCATGCCTCTCCTGTCCCCCCTCCCCCAGCTAGGTTCCTCCCCCTCAACCTCAGGCCCTCTGGCCACACATACGCTCTCCTTCCCAGGCAGGTCTTCCCCAGCAGCAGGTCCTCTCCGGCCGCTGTGGAGCCCCCTCTCCCAACCGCGTTCCTTAACCTGCCTATTAATCCTCCATGCCCAGCCCATACCCTTCTTTCCCAGAGTTCAAACCTCTTTCACCAGCTGGTTCCTCTCTTAGCCTGTGCCTCCCTCTCAGGCCCCGTTCCCGGCCAGAGCCCCTAGCTACGCCCGCAGACCAGCTTTCCCTGCAGGGGTATTTTTACCCGCAAGGCCCCCACCCCAGCCAGTCTGCTATCTTCAGCTTTTGCCACCCTATTAAGCCTGTGGTCCCTTTACAAAGACAGGCACACTCCCACCCCTGGGCCCCTTCCCCAGCCAGTCTCCTTCCCTGGCCACATCATCTTCCCCCAGCTTTTCCACGCTTAAGAGTCAAGGACTCTTCTCTCACCCTTTGCTCCGTAAGCTCAGCTAGGCCTCGTTACCTTGACCTGCCAAGTCCTTCCCTAACCAGCCCCCCCTAGTATCCCCTCTTCCTAGCCAGCCCTCTTTCCCCACCCTGTGCCCTAGTCCACAGCTGGGTTCCCTTGTCCAGTGTGTCCCCCTTTTCTGCCTGTTCCCTGCTCCCCAAGGTGTATTTCTCATTGGCCCCGCCAGAATGATTCTTCTCCACCTCAGTATGCTTTTCCCTGCCTGGCCCCATTTGCCGTCCAAGCCCCCATTCCCAGCCAGGACGGAACCCCACCCATCTCCCTACACCCAGCCAGATTCCCTTCTCCTTCCATGACCCCTTCTCTATACCATACCGGCCTCCTCCAGCCTGTGCCCCTCTGGGTGGCGAAGTCCCCTTTCCCACCCAGGCCCAATGCCCCAGCAAGGATTTCTTCTGCTACCTCTGCCCCCTTCTAGGACCGGTCCCCCTTTCCCCTGATAGGCCCCTTACCAAGTCGCATCCCCAGTCTAGCCTGGTCCCCTTCCTCAGCGTGCTCCAACCTAAGCCTGAGGGCCCCTATACTGGTCAGCTTCCCCTCCTCCACCCAGGCCTTCTCCCACGAGACCCTGTCCCCTAGCCAGGTCCCTTCTCCTTCAGACCCCTTTCCCAGGCAAGTGCTCCTCCCCTGGCCGGCCAGCCTGACGGAACCATTTCCCCACTCAATAGCCAAAGATGCCACCACGGACCCCGTCAGCATCCAGTGTTCCTTTCCTGCTGGACCTCCTGCCCCAACGAGTTGCCCCCTCCCCAGCTTGTCTCCCGCCTCCAACAGGAGGCCCGTTTCCCAGAGTGTAGCCTAACACCCTTCGAGATTCCCTTCTCAAGCCGTTTCCTATTCCTCCCCGTACAGCCCACCCCAGCCGGGCCACCTTCTGCCACTGGAAGCCTTTCACCAGCCTAAACGCCCCTGCTCTTGTCAGGAATCCTCAGCAGCTCCATCCCCTTGTTTATAAAGATCTTCTACCTCTTTTAACTTGGAACCCTTCCCCCACCCAATATAGTCCACTGCAGGAGAGCACCCTTCCCATTCCTAGAGCTCTTCACCAACCTTCGCCCTTGTACCCAGTGACCCCTCATCATGTGTCCCTTACCCCATTCAGGTCCCCTCTTCTAACCAGGCCCTCCACCACCTGCGCCGTTTCCTAGGCAGTCCCTACTTCCTCAGTCTGTGCTCCGCTCCCCACTCCTTTCCCCTGCCGAGCCCCACCCGTCCTCCTAGGCTGACCCTGTCCCCGATGTTCAGCCCCTTCCCAGCCTATGCTCTGTTCCGCCAGCCAGTGTTCACAACACTGGGAAAGGGTCTCTTCTCAAACACCTGCTTTTCTCAGAGACCCCCCCTCCCCCAGCTGGCTACCTGAAACTTACCTGATACACGCATTTAGGCAGTCATCTGGTAGGATTTTCCAGTCTGAATTTTAGGAACCCCCTCTTCCCACCCCTCCAAAAAAACCTTCTGGAAATGCACATTTTGGGCTGGAGAGTTTTTTTTTTTTCGGAAGTGGGGGTTCTTTTTCCTGCACAGTAATTGAAACATCAAGTGAAACCATTTCATGATGTTGTCTACAGAGTGAAAAACATCATCTCGGGACAGCCTGGAGATAAGGTTCCTCCCTAAATTCTTCTCAGCAAAACACTGCACTCCAGGCCACCACCAAGACTGGGAGACCATTCCTCCTCCCAAAAGCCTCATCTGTCCCCCCACTGCCGATCCTTAACCCTGCAGGATTCCTCTGCCAAAGCATGTCCTGAGATACAAATTCTGTGTGAACAGAGTCAAGCTTCACAAAAAACAAGAGAGCCAAACATTTTTTTAAACTGCTTTTATTTTTAAGCAAACTACATAATTTTTAATTTTAGAACATTTGGTGTGCACGAAGAACTTTTTAACCATTTTAAGTAACCTCACTGAAATACAGGATGTGAAAACAAATTTCTTACAAGTTCTTTACTGAAAACCATTTCACTTTTACTATCCTTTTGGCAAGTTTAAAAACATCAACAAGTCTCAAATATCGACAAAAGTGTAGTGTTTTTTTAACCTGATGTCAAAGGTAGGTATAACAGAATGCATCAGCTACTTGAAAAAAGTCACATCCCTACATATCTTTAATAAAGGAAATTAAATTGAGATCTTGCATATCTTAAGAGTAAGCCTTACCTAGCCTATTTGCACTTATAAACCTACATTACCACTAACATATCTTCTAAATTTAAACTTACTTGAAGTTTAATAAACACCTAAACAAGTAAAGTTACTTTGAAACCACGCAAGTTTTTGAGAAAACAAAAGGAGCTCTTCCCGCAAGTACATAAACGCCAAGTTTGTGTAAGTTATTCAACATACTATATTGATAGATAACCTGAAGATGCCGAGCTAAACTATTTTTCTCCCAAGAAGGGATCAAACCACTTTTTCATTTTTAACCCTAAATTATTTGTAACATACGAAAACCCTTAACGGCAAGGTGTGATTGAAACTTTTCAAACTGACTCCCCCAAAGTGGTACAATACAAATACCATGAAGGAAGCAAAGGAGGGAGAATGACGAGATAGGAAAGCGGGGCGGGAAATTATTAATTTTGAGTCCAACGAAGAAAAATCGGAGATAGCCAAAGGAAAAAACAGAGCCTACTGAAAGATCTGGCGGCGGCTTCGGCTCCAGCGACAACAGCAACAGCGACGGCAAAGGCACCGGCAACGACAGCGGCGGCGGCAGCAGCAGCAACGGCGGCGGCAGCGGCAACAGCAACGGCAGCGGCACTGGCAGCAGCGACGGCAAAGGCACCGGCAACGACAGTGGCAACAGCAACGGCAGTGGGGCGGCAGCAACGGCCGCGGCGGCGGCGGCGGCAAGAGCCGCGGCGGCGGCAACGGCAACAGCGACGGCGAAGGCACCGGCAACAGCCATAGCAGCGGGGCAGTGGAAACAGCAACGGCACCCGCAATGGCCTCGGCAGCGGTGACCGCAACCGCCTAGAAGAGCCGCAGGGCGGCGCCCCCAACGGCGCCGGCTGGGAGCGGCTTCACCGAGTTGTAGTGATCCCCGAAGCTGGAAATGTAGCGCACGTAGACGAGAGTAAGCGGCTTCTTGGTGTACTCCTCCCCGACGACGAAGACGGGCGCCTGGGTCTGGACCACCTCGATGGGGGACTGCAGGACGTGCGACAGGGCCCTCAGCTCGAGCTGGCTTCCCCACGACGCGTTGTGCACGATGTCGTCGCAGTAGCTCAAGTAGTCGTCGGCGTTGTAAGCATCGCCGGTTTCGGGGTCGCTGAAGAAAGGCAGGAAGTCTTCGATGTGCTGCCGCATGTAGTCTGCGGTGCGGCCCCGCAGGCTCTCCACGGTCTCAGAGGAGGACAGCTGATCTTGGATAGCGCGGTACATGCAGTGGCTGTCAGCTGGGATGTTCTTCATCTCCAGATTCTTGGCCGCGAGGATGACGGCTAGCTTCTCCTCCTCCTTGCGGCGGTGGGTAGACAGGTAATCTATATCGGCCTCCGCCGCCATCTTCTGGCGCTCTCTCTCTTGCGCCGCCCTTCTTTCGCGCCTTTTCTGCGCCTTCGACAGGCGGGGAGGCTGATTCTCAATATTCATCTTGGCCAGACCAGCAGTGACGGAATCGAGATTGCTGGTATCAGGGAAAAGCTCTCCAAACTTCTCCAGCTCCTGCTGATGCTTCTGCTCCAATTCGGCCTCAAGGCGGTCCACGTCCAGGAGCAACTGCTTTCTTTTCTTCTTGTCGGTCTTAGGCACCGAGTTTTTCATGCTCTGGATGCGGTCCTGCAGCTCTTTTTTCTCGCGGAGGTGGCGTCGTTCCATCCGCTCCCGCTCGCGCTGCACGTCTTCCATGGTGTTTAACGGCAGGTAGCAACCCAAGTTTGCTGGCAGCGAAAGCACCAGATACAGTCGAGACTTAAAGCTCTAACCACCCAGCAGGTAGCGAAGTCTCAGCGTTCTGCGACGGCTGTACTCTTTATTTAAGCCCCTAGTTGCCCTCCTCCTACTCATAGCCCTCTCTGCCATTGGCCAGTGTCTCCATGACCACACCCCGAAACACACCTGGCATTAGGATTGGCTGTTGGGAGACCCTGAGTACGCCTCTAGTAGACCCCACAGCACGGGTGTTTCCGGTTTAGCAGGGTTCAAAGTTCGTCCTGTAAAAGCCGGCCGTTGCTGGTTCTGTGCAGCGTTTACGACTTTGCACGTTATGTGCCGCTATTGCGCTTTTGCAGGTTATGTGCAGCGATGCAGCCTTTGCAGGTTAGGTGCAGCGATGCAGCCTTTGCAGGTTAGGTGCAACGATGCAGCCTTTGCAGGTTGGGTGCAAAGCAATTTGGCCTTTGCAGGCTAAGTGCAGCAATGCAGTTTTTGCAGGTTAGGTGCAGCCATTCGTCCTTTGCAGGTTAGGTGCAGCAATAGGGCTCGCAGAATTTTGCATGGACCCAATCCCTGCTTCATTTCCAAGCCTGAGCACAATGCAGACACTGGTGGTGATTGAGAATCACATGGCAAATGTGCCACCAGCTCAATGTACTCTGACACTGGACTTTCCATTACTCCCTAATGTTCAGGAGACAATGTCGCTTTTTCCAGTTTTGCAAGTCCCTTGACTAGCGAACCCTTAATTTTATCTGTTAGAACAAAGACATTTCCTTGTGTTCCTGGGAACAAAAAGTACTTTCAGTTTAAGTCTAGTCCACCCTGTCCCATCTCAGTGCAAAACGGCAACACTTTTCCTTCAAGTCATTCGCTCCAGCTAGTCAGACCTCTGGCCTTATGCCAAGAGAATGAATGCAGCTTCCCTGAACTTTTCTCTTGGGCTCCCAAGCTTCCAAATGGACTCCTTTGAATGCCCAGGAAGCACTTCTTTATGATTACGCTGAGTCTCCAAAAATCCAGAGAAATTACAATAAATTAAAAATTAAAAGCCCTAAGCTCTTTCCAATAGGCTCTCATCTTGTCCCACTCTGCTCATCTGTATCTTGATTCCCCAGACAAGAAGGGCCTTGAGAGAGCCACCTACTTGGTACAGATGAAAAAAGTGGACATTTGTCTATGTTGTTGCATATTTCAAAATTTCATTCCTTTTTATTGCTAAGTAGTAGTCTATGCTATTGATGTGCTGTAGATTGTGTAACAGTTCACCTGTTGAAGGGCATCTAGGTTGTTTCCAGTTTGGGGATATTTGAATAAACACATCCTGCTATACACATCCTTGTACCAGTTATTGTGTGACCATAAGTCTTCCTTTCTCTAGGGAAAAATGCCCAGGAATACAATTGCTGAGCTGTATTATAAGTGTGTGTCTAGTTTTTTAAGAAACTGTTTTCCAGAGTGACCACGACCTTTGTACATTCTTGTCAGCAGTGAATGAGGGATCTGGTTTTTCTGCATCCTCACCAGCATTTGGTGTGGTCGTTTTTTAAATTTTATTTTAGCCATTCTGATACATGGGTAGTGACATCTCAGTGTGGTTTTAATTCGTTTTTCCCTAGTGGCTAATCATGTTCATCTTTTCAAAGTGCTCATTTGCTATCTATGTTATATCCTCTTGGGTAGAATGTTTGCATCATTTGTCCATTTTATAATTGGACTTTTTTTTACTGTTGTTTTGAGAGGGTTAAGAGTATTTTTATTTATTTATTTTTAGACAGAGGGGAAGGGAGGGAGAAAGCAGGAGAGAAACATCAATGTATGCGCCTCTCGTGCGCCCCCTACTGGGAAATCTAGCCTGCAATGCAGGCCTGTGTCCTGACTGGGAATTGAACCAGTGACCCTTTTGGTTTGCAGGCTGGCATTCAATCCACTGAGCCATACCAACCAGGGCTGTTTTGAGAGGTTTTAAAAAATATAGTCTTTGTTGGATATGTGGCTTGCAAATGTTTTCTCCCACTTGTATTTTCATCTCTTTACCTGGTGTTTCTCAAGGTGAAAGTTTTAAATTTTGATGAAGTCCAGTTTATCCATTTTTCCTTCTATAGGTTGTGTTTTTGGTGTCAAATCTCTTTATGTAACCCAGCAATTTTCAATCTTTTTTGTCTCATGGCACACATAAAGTAATTATTGAAATTCTGCGGCACACCAAAAATATATATTTTTTGTCGTTCTAACAAAAATAATAGGTATAATTTTGATTCATCACTCAGATGGCTATTGTTGTGTTGGTTGTTGTCATTTTTTTTTTAATTTGGGAAAATGGGTCAGTACCCCTGACTAAATAGTCAGGTATTGCATGTTTTAAAAATTCTTGTGGTGTACCCTTTGGTCTAACCCTAGATCTCAAAAATTTTGTCCTGCTTTTTACTAAGAAAACAGGTTTTAAATTTAAATCTATGATCTAGTTTGTGTTTATTTTTGTGTAGGATTTGAGGCTTATGTCAAAGTTCAGTTTTGTTTTTAAGATTTTATTTATTTTTTTTAGCGAGAGGGGGAGGAAGGGAGAAAGAGAGGGAGAGAAACATCAATGGACGTGTTGCCTCTTTCAGAGCCCTCTCTGGGGATCTGGCCCCCAACCCAGGCGTGTGCCCCAACTGGGAGTCAACCCCTGACCTTTCATTCTGCAGGACAACGCCCAACCAAGTGAGCCACACTGGTCAGGGCTGAAGTTCCGTGTTTAGCCTATGGTTGTCCAATTGCTGCAGCTCCATTTGTTGGAAAGACTATGCTTCTCCCATTGAATTGGTTTTGCACCTTTATCAAAAATCTGTTGGGCAGACTTATGTAAGTCTATTTCTGGGTTCTCTATTCTGCTCCTTTCATCTATGTGTCTGTTCTTCCACCATTACCATACAGTCTCAATCACTGTAGCTAAGTCTTGGAATTAGGTAGACTCTTTCCTTCAATTTTATTCTCCCCCCCCCATTGTTTTAGCTATTGTAATTCCCTTGTTTTACTATATAAACTGTAATATCTTGTTTATACCTACAAAAAAATCTTGCTGGGATTTTCATAAGAATTGTGTAAAACTGGGCAGAATTGACATGTGGGTGTTTATCACCATTTATTTAGATTTTCACTGTTTTCTTTCATGAGTGCTTTATAATTTCTAGCATGTAAGTTTGGCGTATATTTTATTAGATTTACACATAAGCATTTTAATTTTTTGAGTGATCATAAATGGTATTATATTTGTAATTTTGGTGTCCATGTGTTCATTCTAGTGTATAGAAATACAGTAGACTTTTGTATGTTTATCGTGCATTTGATGACCTTGCTCAGCTGACTTACTAAGAGGTTTTCGTGTAGCTTCCTTGGAATTTTCTATATAGAGAATCACGCTATCTGTGAATAAAAAAACTAGTTTTTATTTTACCTTTTCCAATCTCTATCCTTTTATTTCCCTCTTTTGCCTCATTGCCTTGTGAGGGCAGCTTTGTTCTGGATCTAGGGGATAGCATTTTACTTTTCACCAGCGAGTGTCATAATAGAGGTTTTTGGTAGATATTGTTTAGCAAATTGAGGCAGTTCCCCTCTGTTTCTATTTTTCTGAGAGTTTTTAACTTGAATGGTTTGAATTTTGTTCTTTTTCTCGATTGAACTGTTCACATGCTTTCCTTTTTAGCCTGTTGATGTGGTGGATTACATGGATTGCCGGTCAAGTATCGAATCAGTTCTATACTTGCCCATGGTTTACAATTTTTCTATATTGATAAATTCTATTTGCTAATATTTTAAGGATTTTAAAGTCAACATTAATGAGAGGTAACAGTCTGTAGTTTTCTTTTGTGGTAGTTTTGTGTTTGGTTTTGGTATCAGGGCAATACTAGCTTTATCAAATGAACTTGGAAGTGTTTCCTCCTCTTCTGTTTTTCTGGAAAAGACTGGGTAAAATCAATGTTAATTCTTTCACTGTTGTGTTTTCTCTCTTTTGCTATTTGTTCTTTGTCAGTCTTGTTAGAGATTTGTCAATTTTACTGATCTTTTCAAAGAACCAGCTTGTTGTTTCATTGATTTTTCCCTATTGCATTTCTGTTTTCAATTTCATTGATTTCTGCCTGCTAGAGGCCAAGTCACTGTGCTTTTTCTGGTTCTTGAGGTGGGAGCTTAGATGATCGATCTTGGATTTTTCGTCTTTTTTTCTAATGTCGAAGTAATAGTGAATAGCAGATTTAAGGCACTAAATGCATACATTAGTATGCATTTAGTATTTTTATTCTCATTCAGTTCAATACATTTTTTGCATATTGTATTTCATTCAGTTCAATACATTTTTTGCATATTGTATTTTTATTCTCATTCAGTTCAATACATTTTTTTTATATTTTCTTGAGATTCTTTGGCTTGTGGATTATTTTTTAAAAGATTTTATTTTATTTATTGTTAGAGAGAGGGGAAAGGAGGGAGAAAGAGAGGAAGAAAAACATCCATGTGTGGTTGCCTCTCACATGCCCCCCAGCAGGGACCTGGCCCACACATCAGGCATATGCCCTGACTCGGAATTGAACCGATGAACCTTTGGTTCGCAGGCTGGCACTCAATCCATTGAGCCACACCAGCCAGGGCAGCTCGTGGATTATTTAGAAGTGAATTATTGGTTTCCCAGTGTTTGTAGCTTTTCCTGTTATCTTTCTGTTACTGGATTCTATTTTGGTTCCTTTGTAGTTGAAGACTATACTCAGTATGATTTCAATTCTTTTAATTTTGTTTATGGCCTAGAATATGTTCTATCTTGACATATTTTCCATGGTCACTTGAAAAGAATGTGTATGTGTCCCATAAATGTTTATAAGTGTTTAGATCTTCCTGTTGGCTGATAGTGTTATTGACACTATCTTCTCTATCCTTTCTAATTCTTCTATTTGTTGTTAAGAGAAGAGCATTGAAGTCTCCAACTGTAATTGGCTCTTTTC